GACTTGAAATGTATTCGCCCCCAACATGGACTAACCGTGACTGACCCCACTCCACGTCTCGAGTGCTGCCGGCTGGCAGCTCCAAGGCAGTGCGGGCCAAGGCCGACGCTACGGCGTCGTCGTCGCGCGCCTGATGCTCAGTTTGTTCAAGGCTGAAAGCTTGGAGGGCACAGAATTCCCGGTTGTCGGGTTTTGGGTTTCGGGTTTCAGGGTTCAGGGTTAAGGGCTGACGGTTTAGGATTTAGAAGTACGCGGATATTGTCGCCGCAGCCCCCTGTGCAGACATCGGTGTGTATGCAAGTACTCGCCCTTGCTCAACATTCCAAGATCCGAGTACAAGGCTTGTAGAGCTCTACTTTTCCTAACTGGGCCCTCTGCTTTGTACAGACATGCGAGGGCTAGCACAACGCTGGTCCGAAACAGTTGCCATGTCCCAAAACCAGAAGTCGAAGCCCCATCAAAACGTCGCTATACCTCAATGCAAGAAGACGTGACCGTGGATGCCTCTCGTAAAGAGGGTCCATATAAATCGTCAAACCAACCTCTGCTCTGCAATACTGCCAAACATGCACAGAGCTGATCGAGCTAAGCCGGTTAATTTCAATTCTCCCCCTAAGTACACAAAATGCTTCTTGCAACCCTTTTCTTTCTCAAGGCTGCAGGCTGTCACTGGATGCCTGCGAAGCTCTGGCAGCGGTCAAAGCATCCTCCACAGTGACAGTCCTCGCATCTGCAAGCGAGCCCTAACCACACCCTAAGCCTTCAACCCTAAGCCCGCCATGAACCGGGTAAGGGATCAACGGAGATCAAATAAGGATCAACAAGAATCAGAACCCTGAGGTCAAAAGCAAAGAATCGAAACAGGGATCACAAAAAAACCTACAGGTCTTGCTTCGCAAGGGCGCCAAATACTGATACCTAAAGAATTTCTACCCTCGGCCGGAACTTCCCCCCTTTTTCGAAGGCTCCAAATACCATGCAACTTCAGAGTTCTTCTTCCTCGAAAGCTCAATATACTGCATTTTCTGCCTCTTCACAAGCTACAGAGCCGGTACGCCTACAGCATTTCTACCTACTTACAGGCTGGAAATTTCGCCAAATTTCGGCTTGGCTTGTAGTGGAGAGTTGCAACGGTGTACTTTGAAAGCACGGTTTACTCGGCGCTGTCTCCAACATCTGCATGATGTGGTTGGTGATTTTGCTTGGCAAGTAAAACATATGGCTTAGGTTTTGTCTTGGCATTGTCATGGTTTGGCTTTGGGACGGGGCGGGCGCGCTCATTTACAAACAGTGTCAAAATCGCTGTTTACTTTGCTAGTGAATTCGCCAATGTGATAAGCATTGAAAAGGATTCCTTCCCTCCATCCTTATGCTGGCTTTAGCTGAACCTTGTTCAGGTTGGGGCTCAAGCCTGTGACTGGGCAGGCATGCAGAAATGCAGTCATTTACCACATCTGGATTCTGTGCTGTATTTTGTGAATACGCAGACATGCTGTAATGTTTTGCTGTATTTTGCCATCGTTTGGGCCCTTGCCGGCAGAGTTGAGCCTTCCTTGCTCCCCTCCCTTCCCTTCCCTTTGCTTCCTTTCCCGTCCCTGCCCGTTCCGTCCGGTCCCATCCCGTCCCGTCCCTTCCCCACTAGAAAATTTTGAGATTTTTTGATGCTTACTTGATTTGTTTTTGATCCTTATTAAGGGTGGAAAAGGGCGGGATACCATGGAGGGGTGGGGGCAGGGAGGGAGGTACCAGCCCTGGATCGTAGATTTCGACACTCACCATCGCTCACCAGTCCCTCTTGGCGCACTCACCGAAACCAGACTATGAACCCTACTTCGCGCTCGCCCACTCACCCGCAAGCAGCACATCCAGCATTCCAAGGCCGGGTTTAAACACAAACCTTTCACAAAAGTCCTCAACACCCAAGGCAAGTCACACCCTCATCCCTAAACCCCAAACCTTATAAACCCTATACATGAGCTCGCCCACATTCTTGCCTCCTTGTGGAGGGTCGTGTGGCATTCGCCGCCTGCAGCATCCATGCCGGCTCCTGCGATGGCTTGTTGGATGAACCAGGCACGCATGGAAATTTCGGGGTGGCTTAAGGCTGCGAAGGCACCTCATGTTTAGGGCCTTTAGGGTGTGGGATGAATCTCAAGAATCTACCTCAAGATGTTCTGGGTTCGATGAGCCATTCATCACGGAAACGCACCACTAGCATGACACATTCTCATCCAAAGAACCCAGGCCTAAAACCCAAAACCCCAAACCCTAAACCCCAAGGCTTGGGCCTCCAGGCCTCAAGGCAGGGTTTAGGGTTTACCTGTTAATCCTGGCGGACAGAAATTTCTGTCCTTATGGTTTTTTCTGGTTTTTTGCGTGCAAAAGCGAGGTGTTGGTGTTCTATTGGGATCGGGGAATACGATCAGAGCGGCTGGATTTTCGGAGTTCAGGGGAACCTTCCCGAGCCCTGTGCAGAGTCTTGTGCACCAAAGAATAGGTGACCTGAGCAGAACACAAAAAAGCGTACTCTGAACCCAACGTTTTTCCAACATAATGTTGGGTTTTGTTGGGTTTTTTTTTTTGGGGGGGGGTAGCCCAAAAAAACGTAAACCGTACCGAATCCGTACTTTGTTGGAAAAATGTTGGGAAAATGTTGGGAAAAAAGCGTACCCAAAACCCAACGCAAACCCAACAAGAGGACACTTTTTCTGAAAAGGCCACTTTTTCTGCAGAATTGTGTGGGTGTCTGGTTTCCACCAGGAAATAGGTTTCTGACCATCATTAAAGCGGACGGATTTTTTGCGCGGCTGGATTTTTCCGGCCTCTTCAATAGGACAGTTTTTTATGGAACGTGGGATTGACAGGTAGGGTTTAGGGTTTAGGGTTTACAGGGGTCCTGTCGCATGAGTGGCTTCCTCCCGTCGCCCGTGCTGACCTCCAGCGCCTCTGCTCAGAGTTGCGGGCTGCGTTCCGGGCTGGTCCTTCATAACTTAAGGGTTTCAAAGTTCAAGTTATCTGCTATTTAGATCGATTTCGAGGTTAATAAGGTTGTGCGATCTCAGGACTCAGATTCGAGGAGTTCGGGAGGTGCAGGAGTGGAGGACTTTTAAGCCTTGGACCTCAGTGCTCAGAAAAAATGGCCTACAGCTGTGGGTAAGGAATGAGTGCGGCATATGTCTGCTGACCGTATTTAAGGGCAAAACTCGTGCTCTGGTTGCCGCCTTCATGTTGAGGGCAAGCTTCGCTCACATGTTGCAGCAAGGGCATTCGGGCTTCGGAGCGCTTTCTGGCATGGCGTGTGCTGGCTCAACGCCGTCAAAACGCATTGAAGCGGAGGCCCTTACGACCAGACATGCCGCACAAAGGAAAAACGTGGCTTAGGGCCTTAGAGTCAAAAGGGCTTCTTCTTGCGCCACCCATTTTTTGAAAGGTTTCGGGCTTAGCAGGCTCAGGTCAGGAGATGGCACCCGCACAAAGCAGGCATGCCTTCAACTCAACGATGCTTTGAGAGCTTCGGAAAGGTCCAATTCTGTTGCCACGAACGGGGAGTTTATAATTAGGGGTTTAGGGTTCATAGGAGCTCCTCTTGAAGGACAGCGCAATGTCTGCTGAGCTGCTAAACCCCACACGCCCAAACTCTGAGATCGTCAAGGCTCATTTCTCGTGGCCGTCCCGCGGGAGGAAGCCTTGACAGCTATTGTTAAAATCATAATCTGATACGCCTTGGAGTTGCATGCTACAAATGGCCAGGTGGTTCCCCTTCAAGTGCTTTCCCTCCCGACTTTTCACAACAACATGAACCCTGAGTCAGTACTTACGATGCCGCACAAGGGTTTTACTGAATGTGCGAAGGTTCAAGGCTAAGGTGAAGAAGCAAAACAGACCGACTTGGACAAAATTCGGCCTCACAAACTCGACGTTGGGGGTGTGCCTTGAACCTTTGATCTCAAAAAACTGTATCCGGTCCTGGCGGAAAAGCAAGCACGCAAGAATCCGGTAAACTTGGTGATCGCTCTATGTGCGCACCCAAGCCGAGACCAGGTGTCAGCCACTTCAGAAGTGGACCAATGGATGCCGGGCAGGTTTGTAGAGAACCCAAGCCCCTGAGTTCATATCGTACATTACATGCTACTTCTAGACTACTCCAGGAGAGTGCAATTAGGGCCAAGTGAGTTTAGGAGAGCGAACCAGGGCCCGAGCTCCTGCCAGAAGCGGTTCTTAGAGTTCCCACGTCAGCGCAACGAAGTCAGTCCTGTTCGTGAACTACTCTACGATACGACATGGTCCAGCCACGAAAGATCATGAAAGCCAAGCGTGAACTCTTGGTTCGCAACCTCCCAAAAAGCCCCCAAACATTCTTGCAATCGAGAGGCAGGACAGCTCAGGCTGGCCACGCACAGAAATGTGAGCAGCGCATAGGCGCTAGGTCCGCCAGGTCGCCTTGGCACAGGTTAGTCTATACTCCCCTTAGAACCTTAATAAAACAATATTAATAATATTTGAAATAATATCTCTTGGGCTTTATATAAAAGGGGGATAGAGTAGTGCAGTTCAAAGCGGTTTTGTCGTGGAAGCTGGGGGTGCGAACGCACATCGAGACACCTGGGCAGACAAGTCGCAAAACGTTGTAAGCTAGGATTGAGGCTACCAGCTTCGAAGCTTGCTGTTCAAGGGGTCTTGTGTTTTTGGTTGGGGGGGGTACAAATTGCACGAGCGTGAGCCCTGCTGAAGCCCATCACGGCTGCAAAGTTGCGCTGGGCCATATGGAAATGCCATGGGCAGTAAAGGGCCTGAAATTCATCTGAGCAGGGCCACACAACAACGCGGCAGCCCGGCAAAGACTTGAGCCACGATGTCAATTGGATCAGGAAGTGCCCACCATGTGCGGAGTTAAAAGGTCGGCATTCTCCTTCACTTACATTTTCCATAAAAGCATGTAATCAATCAAGCATGCAAGCGGCTTTGCCGTGCTTCGAAACTACTGACAAACATAGGTAAGACTAGACGAAATCCGCAGGCTTCGCTGCGTCTACGAGCTTGGTGTACTGCCAGCGCCCCTTAGAAACCAGCTGCTTAGCAAGGCTTGGGTCACTGCATGCAAGCTCCTGGTCGTGGCCGGCATGTTTGCACTGCATCTGCAGACGACGGCCTGTTTTGAAAAAGGACATGTCGACGCTACTCGTGTCCAGAGGATGCAAGCCTTTCCCCTCCGAATTGTCCACCTGGTCCCGGCGTGGATGGAGAGCAAAAGGGCCATGATGGTGCTGGACCAGCCATGATGCATCCATGACCTGTCCCCAGGTGCTGGGGGGCTGTGCCGAGTCTGTCTGGAACTGCTGCCAGTAGATATGACTGGCATTGTAGACCTTGCACAGGGATCTACCTCTGCAAACTCTTGCGTGAAAAAAATCAGAAAACAAACCGAAGCCCTCGCGGCCCGAATCTGCGAACTACAGCTGCCTAGATTGCGCGCACGCGGCCGGGTGGCATGGTTCGGGGCTTCATGATGTACCTAGTCCTACATTGCACAAGTCTGGATGAACTCGGCATCTTCGGATCCCCTGCCCGGAGACCACCCTGGCTCCCACTGCTTTTGGGAGTGTGCTGGGATTTGAATTAAAACCGAGAGGCTCGGAGCTTCTGAGCTAAGAGTTTCAAGAGCTTTGAGTCAGGTTTGGGTTCAGGGCTTGAGGTCAGTATGGGAATATCAACGAGGACGACGGGGTTTTGAGTACAGTAAGTTTCAGGATTCGGGGTCCCAGCAGCGAGCAGCCTTCACCCATGATCGCCAAATCCCCAAACAGCACTACTGTGACCTCGCTGTGACCTCGCGACGCGTGCACACAAACGAGGCCTCAAATTCTGACCCTCTCTCGGTCTCGCTTAGGGCCTGCAAACGTGAAGAGGCGTTCCGAACATCTTTTCGCTGTCGCCTAATAGTGCTTCCGCACTCCAAATCGTGCTCCCGCCAAGGTTCCGTGCACTTTGGAGGTTTGCACCGTTCCGTGTCGCGAAAACGCGGGGCAAAGGGGGATGCCTACTAAACCCTAAAACCTAAACCCTAAACTCTAAACCCTTTCATCTTGGTGCTCTTGGAATGTGCTGCCCCGGGTGCTCTTGAAATGCCTTGAAGTGCCCTTACACGGTTCCGGGCAATCCGCCACGATATTGTGCATGGGGTTAGCAAAGGAGGACGACCTTTTTCGCGACCTTGATTCCGAATCCTGTTTACACTCGACCCTGAACCCTGGTAGTTTTGTTTAACACTAGCCACTTTACCCATACTCATCCAAAACGATAATTACAATACTCCCCTATCATACGGAGCCCGATTTACAATCAGGTGACGCGAGGGAATGGGGCCGCGTTTGACATTGGTGATGCCCCGCCCGTGTAGTCGCAGGCTCAAGACTGTACTGAACACCGCAACCAAGGATACCGCGCCCTAAACCAACGCAGTCTGGGGGCTGTTAGCTTGGACCACCCGTAGGTGTTCAGGCGCTTCGCGGTCCGTTTCGGAGCGGGGCGCGTGAAGGGCTCGTGGTCCTCGACACTGCCAGCAGAGCCTGCTGCGTGCGCATGTGGTGCCGTATGGAGAGAAAAACGGCTATGCTCGGCAACAGCATGAAAGCCCCCGAACCATCTTAGCTTGCCTCTTACTTTCCCCTGGTTCGATTCAAGACCGAAAGGACAAAGTCTGTACGAAATAGGGTTCAAGATCATCTGTCTACGTACCTCGACGTCTCCGCGAGGACCCGCCAATCAGTCTGACCAAGTACTGTGGTGGATTCAATACTCAAGAGCTCTGACCACTGAAACAGGGCATGGCGCAACAAATGATGCAACCGGCGTGCTCATGGACAACAGCTGTGGTTGCATTGTTGGACAATCCGCGATGGAAAGAAGCATACATGGCCCAGATACGCACCCCAACCCTGAACTACGAATTGCTTAAGAGCCCCGAAAAAACAAAAAACAATCTTCCTTAAAGAAAGGGGAATTATCGGTCCTAAAAGCAAGTAGTAGTGAATCAAGGGCCACCAAGGCCCAAGGCCTGTGATGATGTGCGTTGTGGCAGGTGGGTCGACGGTGCTGCCAGTGGTGATGCCACTCAGCCAGGGCGTAATGGGATCCCACATGGGCGAGACGTCGAACATGCGCTCGTAGTTGTGCTCGTGGCCTCCATATAACTATGACTTTGGCCTAAGTCTACAGTTTAGGGTTTAGGATTTAGGGTTTGGACTGCTTGGTCCTCTGGATCTCTTGGCTTACAACTGGGGGGGGGTACCAGAGACCCTGTCGTCGGCTTGGAACAACTCCCTGTGCCACGGCAGACATTCCGGGCTGAAATTGATACAAGGCCTGAGGGCTGGCATGTAGGTGGGTGACTGCTACCGCAAACGGCAGCAAAAGCCTTATAATTCTTCAACCGCCGCGCGCCACGAATGCCAAAGCCTATAGAGTCCAAGGCTTTCGTTTTCAGGCCGGGCTCTTGGCCTGCAATGAACACGTCCACTCCGTACTTGTAGAAGAGCTCCTCCAAACCGTACCTTCTGTGGCCCACATGTTGCTTGGATGTCCACAAGTTCACTCAAGCCCTACTCTGGCCCTCCACCCCTTGCTTCCCCTGGCCTAGCAAAAAAGTGTGGTCCCTTATTCATTATTCCCAGGTTTCCCTGAAACCTGTGCATTCCCAGGTGCTTGAAAGTCCCATCTGGCTGCTTCAACCCCATGCGGTTCACGGTCGCAAAGCTGTCGCAATCTGCCTTGGCTTCTGAAGGAACCCGACGAATCTATGAAGCCCTGCTGGGAATCCGGCTTGGAATCCTGTCACTGAACCGCTAATTAATTCCCCGAAACCCAAGCACAGAAAGTTCTGGCGAACAGCTATGCGTACCTGTACGATCCCCCCCCCCCCACAACAAGAAAGACCTGTGCCTGCAACAGCAAGCTCTTGATTTCGAGCAAGGGAACGTCGCATGAGCAGTAGAGTGGCCGATGACCAAGAACAATTACCCACGGAGTCTTGGTGCCTTGCAGGAAGAGGTTTAGGAGGTTTAGGGTTTAGGAGGTTTAGGAGTCTTATTCGCCATGAGGTTCCAAACTCGAAACATGCCTCTCCGATTTTAAGTAGAAGAAGTAAGGACCTAGAGATGCCCGAGCGGAATCATCTGCTGCAAGCCTTCCCTTGACAGGTCGCTGCAGGTGTATAGGGCTCATGTGGGTTTAGTCGGCTTCAGACTCAGAAAGATATAAGAGAGAGGCAGAGTTGCACGGCTCTGGGGCTAAGCTGGGTAACCCTAAACCCTAAACCCTAAACCCTCAACCCTAAACCCTAAACCTAAACCCCAGCTCCATCTTTGCCCAGGGTGCGGTCTACGGCTCCAAGGTCGGCTTCCAACCACTCATGCTGTTCTGCCACCATCTGTGCCAGAGGGGAAGCGAAATAAACCTGTGCAGGGCTCTTAGGGTTTAGGGTTTAGGGTTTAGGGTTCGTGTTTCAGCCAATTTGGTTTCGCAGCTCAAAAATGTTTGAGAACTTGGGGTTGCAGGGTTCTGACAAGCAAAGGCTGCTGTACAGCACCCGGAGGTAACATCACTACCACCTCTGGGACGCGGATCTATCATCTCTGTTACTGCCAGGGAGATGCTCCATGGCAACATGCTGCCGGCATCCGTCATACAGGCTTATACTTACACAGTTGCACACACACACACCATTCGGTTCTTTCACCTCTGGGACATGGGCAGGTTGGCAAATCCTGCAGCGAAGTGTTCAAGGTTCCCATTGAGAGACCAGGCCCCCAACTCTATGCGTGATTCGGGAACTTCAGGGCAGTGCATAGCATGACTTTGCCAAGGGTAAGGCCTGAACCCATTGAACCCAGGATGCTGGCGGCAACCCAATCACCGTCAACCTAGCTAGGGAAGCAGTGCAATCATGGATAGTTTTTTGGACAGACTCGGCAAGCGGCCTCCGTGGAAATGGTCACGAAGTGGACAAGTCCGCTGTCCCAAGAATACCACCTTGCTTACAGCATCATTAAGCAGGTGGTCACGCTGGCAGCTGGATGAAGGTTTCACGCAAGTCGACATTGCAGGCGAAATCTAAGGTTCCATGTTCGCGGTCAATGCAACTGCGAGTACTGTCCCGTGAAGAAAGACCAACAACTTCGCAAGGCATGAGACTCATACTGGTACGACAAAAAGTGGGCAGCAGTTCCCCCATTCGCCAGGGCGACTTAGGACTCCTGCACTTCAATGAGTGTTTGAGTACTGGTTTGCTACTTATTTGCCAGGTCTTGTCGTTTCCGAAAGATGCCAAACATTACAAGACACACGGAAATTCCTCTGTACTGTAGCTGAACTGATCCATGGCACCAGTTGTTGGGCACATTGCCATATTCCGGGAACGTAATCGTTCCAGAGTTGGACGGCATATTCCTGCAGGGGCTTCTTATGCCGAATATGTTTCAACGTCATGCAACGTGCCTTCCTCCTTGGTGCGATGGCACATGCAAGTGTGTCGATCCTGAACCGCTGCGTGTAGTGATTGAAGTGGCGGTTGGCTTCCTGACAGGACTCATGGTACTACAAGGTGTCGGGGTTTGGGTTTTGCCACCCACACTGCATGCACATAGGGTTTAGGGTTTAGGGTTTTGGCCATGACTTTTCTGAAGTCGAAATGCACCGCCAGTGAACCAGTGCATGCCCCAACCATGCTTACGATGACCATCGAACCACATCGAACACATGGCTGCTGAATTCGGTCGCAAAGTATCGTGGTTTCCGTGCGACACCATGTACCTTGGAAAGGGGGGGGGGGAGATTGCATCGTGACGCTCTTTATATATATATATATATATATGAAACAATGTGTAATGTGGGGCGATAGCCTATGGGGGATTTATCTCCCGACTCCCTTCCTTCCTCCCAGTTCCTCCTCCCGCTCTCTGTCTTCTTCTTCTTCTTCTTCTTCTTCTTCTTCTTCTTCTTCTTCTTCTTCTTCTTCTTCTTCTTCTCAGCACTTAGGAGTCCTCCCCGCAGGAGGAACCGGGCCGCGACCTGTCTCTCTCTCTCTCTCTCTCTCGCTCTCAGACCTCGCGGTCGTCAGCTGCCGCCCGCGACAACAAAAGCGGTTTCTGCACTAGGAGAACGAGCGGTATGCTCACATCAAATACCGCATGTGTTAACCTTGAGGGTTTAGTCTTTTTTCCCACCTTCGGTGTGCAGTAGCTTCAACTCATGTATTCATTCAAGGGGCTAACTTATGTGAGTAAAACCGCGAGGAATCACATGTCATCAAGAGTCTATTTTGAATAACCCTTGATTGCCTTGATGTATATTCTTATTTAACGACATCGCCATTGTGCAGTGATTGGTCTGGTCTGTTCAAAGCAGCCTAGCATTTCTGAGGCTCCTTGTGGGCATCCGGGCCGTTAGCTCGTTTCACAATCACAACACATACTTGCAAAACTTGCAATTGCATTCAGGCCGCTCAGGATGCCCATATATTCCAAACTTTTCCGGTTGCGACCCACGTTTTGGAATCTAAGCTACTTGGCCCCTGAAAGCCCGAAGCTGCTACGCAGACTGTTCGGCGTAAAATGCAGCCTGATCCTATCCTAGTATTTGCTTAAAACCCAAAAAGAATAAAGAATCACAACCCCTATATTACCCTTAATAAGGAAGAAAAAAATTGGGGAGGTTCTTAAGCAATTAGTAGTCTTAGTATCAGGTGCTTCCTGAACTCGCAACTGCCGGCCAGGAGGCGGCACGGACGCCGCCAGCGGCTGAATGTCCTGCATCCAGGCATCGCCATTGCGGCCGTTGTCACTGTCTAAGTCGTACGCCATGTCTCCGACCTTACCAATATGGGCTACTAGGCCTTAAAAGCCTCATAAGGAATTCCACAAGGGCCTTTAAGGGATTGTAGGGTCTAATAGCCCATCCTGGTATAGTGGGAACGAAGGCGTCTTTGGTCTCGATCACTGACGAGTTGCGAGGGTTTTTCCACGGACTGTGTTACCGATGTACAGATTGACGTTTTTGGTGCTCGATACTTCTGTGGCTCCACTCCACATCCTCGAAACTGTCGTAATTCTTGGATCGACACATCTGTTTTGGTTTTTGATCACCTGCGCGGCGTGTGGGTCACCCACCATGTTGGAATTTCGTTCTGGGCTATGATTTCGTTGTGTGATGGGCTGGCCTCGTTCATGTCATGGTGCAAGTCAACGGCGTGGTCCCCGCGGGGGGCTGTAGCCCTCGACGTGGTGTTTCAGCATCTCGCCGTTGTCCGTCGAGGGGCCGTGGTCTCCTGCTTGTCCATGTGCTTCGTGTTGGGTTGCTGTACTTTGCCCCCTGTCGCCTTTTTGGCTTGTCGAAAGAAGCGATATCATATCGCATCGGCCTCATGCGGCTCTACGACTCTACGAGGTTCTCCGTTTGGAGCTCCGCCATGGTCAGGGAAGGCGTGTCGGATTCACTGTCCTCAAGAGTTTATTCGTTTTTTGGCTCCGCCTCGACAACGCGAAATTCACGGCCGCGAAGCCTCGCAAATTCTTGAGGCCCCTTTCGTTTAGATCAACTTGCAGAGTACCTGGGCCCTTATCGTCCTCTCCTGATGATGATGATGATTTCGTAAGCATGCAGCATGCAAGCTTGTCCTGGAAGCTCCAACACCCAAGACTTTACCCCAGGGTCTTTTTGCTCTGACGGGCCAGTTCATTCCAAACTTGTGCTAGCAGGCTGTGGCATCCTTAGGATGTTTATAATTACACGGGTTTATGAGGGGCGAATTCAGCTTGGCTTTGAGTATTCACCGGATCATCCTGTCTCAGAAGTTCCCCATCAAGTTTCCTTCCAACGCATCAGCTTTCGCAACGTGTTTCCACCTCCATGCAGCACCCGCAACTGCCAACCCTGAAAGCTGTGACTTACAAGCTCTACATGAACAAGACCCCAAACCCTTTTTTTGCAACTGGACTCCTTGCTGCCCCTAGACCCTAGACCCTGAACCCTAAACCCCAAACCCTTCTGGTCTCGGCCACATGCAGCACCATGTCCAACTCGCCTTTTCGCGCTTCCGCCAGCAAGGAGGGCAGGGTTTGTCCGTTGTAGTCGCCTAAGTCCCCGTAGACCGCGTAGCTCCTTAAGGCGGGGAACTAAAGCGACGAAACAGGCTTAAGATGGCGGCTAAACCCCAAACCCTAAACCCTAAACCCTTCTAGGGCCAAAAATTGGGAGCTTCCCCTTCGCTGCGCGCGCGAGGCCAAGGTGGCAGGCACAGAAGTTTCAGGAAGTCTGCTACTCTGAGCCCTGGGTCCCCGAGACCCGAGTCTGTACCACGGTTTAGGGTTTAGGGTTTAGGGTTTAGGGTTTAGGGTTTTGCCAAACCAAGACTGCAGCCCCAAGGCACATGGGCAGCCGCGACTGAACATCCCCAGCAGATATGGGGTGACTCTTGAAGCTCAGAGGTTGCGACCATCCGGTTCTGTTGCCTCGGATGGGTGGTCTTGACTTGAGATTGGGGCTGCTGGCTCTCTATGGCCACTCGGAATGAATGACAGGTCATCACAAGGCGCTCCGGTAGAAAAGCTCACCCTGCACCCTAAACCCTAAACCCTAAACTCGCAACTTCAGAAAGCCAAAGCAGTCATCACGCCGAGCAGAAGAACCACTACAGGCAAGAGTCCGCCCACAATGTAGTAGTAGACCCTATTTGGCAGAAGGCCCGTCATCGTGGCAACGTGCATTCGAAAACTCCGGAGCTCTATGCCATAATCCTGTGTGCAGGCAAAAAGGAGTTTAAACTCTGCCATGCCATTTCTTCCAACCCTAAACCCTAAACCCTAAACCCGAAACCCTAAACCCTAAACCCTAAACCACTTTGCGCAATGGATCTGCAGACTCAGCATTTTGACGTCCATCTGTCCTGGAAGAGGAAGGAAATGCCGGTCGAGTTCCTCCGCACGCCCAAGATGGGATGACCCCTCTGAAGCAAGAGTCGTCTGAAACCCCAATAGAGGCAAGCTAGGCAGCTAAGCCATCTTGAAGTCTTGCAGCACAGTGATGGCGACTTACTTGCTACTTGCCAAGGCGTTTGTCGCACTTTGGCTCTCTTTTCTGGTTCACGGGTAAAACCATCTGTCCTTGTCAGCTCATCAGCAGAGAGGCCGTACATCACGACCGAGTCACCGGGAGAAGCGGACTGGCTCTCCTGCCACAAGGCTCGTTCAAAGCAGTCTGAACCAATCTGTGCCAAAGCCGGGGTCAGGCTTCCCCTGGAATTCCCCTGCGACCCGCAGCTCATAGGCTTTAGGGCTTATGGATTAGGGTTAGTTTTAGTTTGCATTTGGTCCGCCTTCACCTTGGCACAGGTGCAACGGTAGCAAAGCTCCGACAATAGCATTTCTTGCCTTTGCTATGCCCATGTTACCGCAAGTCGTCTTAAGCAGTGCAAGAGCCACGTCGTAATCAACCGCACCAACTAACCGAACCTGCACGCACGCACGCGCGCACAAACTCGCACTTTTCACTCACCCACCCATGCAAATCGGTAAAGGTTGGTCAGAAAAATGCTTTAGGCATGTTCAACACGCGCGACAACATTTGGGAGCGGAAAAAAGGTGCTCGAAAACGTTTGAAAGCCGCGCCAGGCCCTCACTATGTGAGTATTCATGCTTGTGGATGCCCTGCGCTGCAATCACAGACGTGTTCTGCAAGCACAGGCCGTACGTCATCCCCATTTCTCACGCCAAGCTATGGCTGTGGCTTACCAACTGCCTAAGGGCACTGAAATGACGAAGCCGCCCATCTCCCGACGTCCTCGGCATGCTCCGATTACTTTCATTCTTTTCTGGCAACTCCGGGCTGAGGCTCCGGGCTCCATCGACAGGAGCTTCGACAGGTATACACGAGGCATCACGAGGCACTTCAACTCAGGAATTTTGCCACAAAGCGCGGTCAAAACCCTATACTCACGGCCGACGGCCATCAGCACGTGTCTCCGCGCAAACTGCTCGGGTGCCTCGCGTGATGTTTCATGAGATTTCGGGCACCTTTCTCAACACGGTGCCTGATTGGCGCTGATCTTCCGAGCCTTTGCCTTGACTTAGGCGAGTGTTCTTCATTCCTCTACAGCTTGTTGCAAGAACTTGAAGAATCATCAGTGCCCTGATTCCCGTGCCCAGGTGCATCAAAAGATTGACGCGGATTGTGTCTCCATGTGATCCCCACAAAAGTTTCCCCGGACAACCTCGCAGCGAGCGTGCAACTACCCGGATTGATGCCAAACGATGCCAACCTCGAAGTAGAGTCTGGTTTGTCCTTGCGCTCCAAGGCCCCTTGAAGGGGGCCATCAGCACCAAAAGACGACTTGAAAGCCTGTTCCCTTGGTGCGCAACATTCTCCCCCAAGTGTTGCAGGCGAGATTGCAAAGAACCCAGGACCTGGATACTCCACCCGGTGAGGCTGCAGTGGTCTTGAATGAGGCATGCGGTGATCCATCTAGTGTCCCGGGAACCAACAGCTCACCGGCGAGGACGCATCGTCAGGGACCTGATGATTGCCTGCTTCCTGGAGTGCACGTTCGGAGCTCTGGTGCAGGGGACTGCGTCGCATCGTGTGGCAGATACGTTTGAAGGACCTGGTACTGGTAATGTAGGAAAACTACTTGCAAGAAGTCCGCTGTCGTCCTGCAGTTGAGCCAGGCGGCCCGCGCGTCTGTTGAGGGCCATCTCTGAGCTCGGCTTGGGGAGCCATGCAGATCTCTGCTGCTCACTGCATCCATATGTCTGCGGGATTGTAGCACAAAGACCAACGGGCAGACGTTGCACGTTCCAAATAACAGGGTTGACAGGTTCTCAAGTTCAATATGCAGTTGATTAGGCCCTGCTGAGGGACATGCACAGCCTGCATTGTCGCTTCTGGAAAAAAAAGGTCTCTGGGGATACTCGGGGGGTTCACAACACTTTGTGGTGCAGGCCGATGCGCATCGCGTCCTGGATGGTAGACCAATGCACTGTCATCTCACCTGTCAAGATGGAGTTCCTACACGGCAGTTTCGCAAGAGCGAGGTTTTCTTTTGAGAATCACCACTTCGAAACAACAGCTTCTCAGGCGACCATTCTGTGTAAGCAGCATCTCTTGTCGTGATGGCTGGTTCTGCAACAGCTGCGGCGATGTTCGCACGGCGGTTGTTGCAATCTATGTTGCCCTCAACGTTGCGTGCGACACTGCTATCAGTATTGACTCTAGCATGCTAAAATGACTTACAATGAAAAGCCGTCGTCTCAACGCTGAAGTTTTCATGCGAGAACATGTGGAAACCTATTTTTTCAGGGTGGCGAGCAAGAGAGCTGCGCCCCGTTTGAAAGATGGAATCCCGCGCTTTGTCAAACGCACATTCCGAGTTGTTCTCTTAGGCTTATCGATGTCAGAAGTTGCTCGATTCTGCCCGAAGCTAGTGTCGATTTGTTGGGTTCGGGGTGGAGGGTGGGGGGCATACAGCGGTACACAATCGCCTCGTCAGACATGCCCTTAGAAAGCCCACTGTTTCCCCTCCTCCAACATCACCTCCCCTCATCACAACCTTAATACAACCATTGTCTCAGGACGAGAAATTGAAAGCGGTCGAGTCGAAACTGCAAGCGCCCAAGAACAAAGCACATGTTGCCTGCAAGCCCTACATGTCTTTCAACTTGGGCGATTACGGAAACCTAAGTGTAAAGCCTAAACCCTAAACCCCAAACCCCAAACCCTAAACCCTATAAACCCTAAACCCCTGTGTCGTGCAGTGGCTCGCCTGCTAGCTGCCCGATGCCGATGTGGATCTGCTCCGGCTGCTTAGCAGCATCCGCCCAGGCAGGAAAAACGAAGCTGGCCAGCAGGCCTCCGGTGCTGAAGGGCGCCACGCTTGCAACTTCTGCTGCGCCCCTATATTTCTCTCAGTGTTTGGGTGGCTCACATTTTTAAAATTCGGTTTCATGTCGCTTGCGACGGTTTGCTGAGGCGGGAGGGACTCTAAGGGACCTGGCAGCTCGGACCCGGGTTGTTGCTTGGGTTCTGCCAGCTCTACATCGCGCAGTCTGCACAGCTTCCGAAACATCCTGCCGGAGCCTTGCGACACTGGTGTTACGAGTATCCAGTGGAAAGGAGAGCAAGTACTAAGCTATGAGTTCTCTGCACTGCTCTACTGCCCTAGCTCTAGGGCGCTAGGTCAGTTTTAGCTCTGCGCTGACGCATGAGGGACAACATGCCAAAGTTCTGGCGCTGAGCAGTTGGGGGGCTTTATTGCAACCCTCGGCCTAGGCGGGCCATGTGCCAGCGGCCATGTGCCATGGGTCAGACCCACCTATCTAAGGCATGGAAATACATCCCAGCCAAAACAGCTTCAGCATGGATTTTTAGTGTCAGGTCTAGAGTCTGTGTGAAGCCCGGGGCTCATGGCTGGGAATCAGGACGCCATGTCACCTAAACCCTATAAGGCTTCAGGTGCTGCCCGGCACCGCGGGTATCTCGCAAGAAAGTCAGGTTCTCTTTCTTGGCGCCTACCCTTCGCAGCAAAGGCAAGCGATTTGAACCAGCATTTCTTGTCTGTTTAACGTTCATGCTGACTGCTGCTCCCACCGTCTTAAGGGGAGCGCTTTGTTGTGACTGTTCGTACCTTTTTTTCGCGTGCGAGCTTGTGATGTGTTTCTTGGTTGTGACAGCCTTGGCTCATCCACACCACGATGCGCAAAAAACTGCTCTAATCAGTGACTTGTTGCGGTGCCGCTTCTGAAGCCTTTCAGTTTTTTGTTGGGGGCGTGACATGTGGTGCACAGGAGTTTTCACTACTCCCAGGGTTCGTAGCGTTTTCTTCTCCCACCTGGTGTGGGGTCGTTCGATTTTAGGTGAAACGTTCTGCTCGCCTCCTCGGTCCGGTGTCCCACCCAAGCTCCCTTCCTGGTCCATGGAGTGAAGCCCAGGGAGGGTCCCACCGAGTATCCCAGGAGCGCCCACCCCGAAAAGCCTGCTGAGAGTTCTGCGACAGAAGCCTGCAGCGAAGTATCCTCCATAACAGCAGGATGGCTCACACATCGATTAGCCTGCAGGGAGCGGATGATCGAAGCATGTTTGTTTTTGATGGGGGAGGGGGGGGGGGGGGGGGGGGCTGCGGCTGTTCTGGTTCAGGGTTCGTACAGCTGAATATGAAAACCTTCTTGAATTTTTTACAATCCAACACAGGGTCCGCACACTTCATGTCGTAGGGTGAGTATATTGGTTCGGCTGTTGGGCCCTTCAGAGGTGACGTACTTCAATCTCAGTTTTTCTGGTCGACGGATGCGCGCAGCAAGCAGTCTTCAAAGCGAATTTGGTGCATGCATGTTTCAACTGTGCGATTGAAGCTGGCCCGAAGGCGAAAATCTAAGATCCTATCTCGCATGGCGTAGGCAATGCACGTTTGAAAGAATATCCGGCAAACACGACTAAACCGTAAACCTGTACTCGTGAACCTTGCAAGACCCAGCCTAGGCACCCTAAGCCAGACGCTTCTGAACAAAGTAGAGACCATCAAAGGTCTGGTGGATGCGAAGGTTTTCATCCACGTAAAGCAGCTTGAATCCTGCTCCGCGGTCGCTGGGATTCACCTGGACCCAACATACTTGCAATGCGGGCGGGGCGTTGAGCATCGAAGGTTTAATGCTCTATTGCATGTGACGATACAACCAATGACTTGGGATGTTCCTCCTTATACTAACAGTCCTTAATAGGGACTATAGTACCCCCGATTATCATCCCCCTTTAGGACTTTAGTATAAGGGGGAACATCCCAACCAATGACTTTAGTCTGGACTGTGCTCGGCGAATTTCTCTTCCTTCGAAAGTGGCATGAAACCGTCAGAGCGCTTCGGGGCTGCACGTGTCAAACCCTGCGGTTGGTGATTCTTTCCACGTCGCGTATATCACACAGCAGGACAAGCAGAAACATCAGCAAACGCAGCTTCAGCAGCAGAACTTATTGAAATGCTTTTCAAAATGAACAGACTAACCACCGACTGGACGCTAAGCAGAGAACTTATTGCACTCTGCACCTACATCCTCAACTCATCGCAAACCTCATATACCCCATGTCTATAATTTCAAAGGGAGTCTGCAGGGGCCCTCCTGCCTTTGAGCATATTCGCCCCCTGAAGCATGACCCTCACGAACCTGGCCCCAACCCAACACAAGAGGAGTCACAAAAATAGGCCCCTGTCCAACCCCCTTAACCCACCCCAACCATCCTTTCGCGTTTTGGCTGTGCAGGGGAGTGAGCCCTGCAAGGACAAAAGGTGATAAATCTATTTGAGTCCCAGTGGTGCGTTGTGAATACGATCACAGAACACCTATAATTACGAACCTCTCCTGCATGTATACAGTTCTTGACTTGTGGGACGATGGAACGGAGTAGATAACTTGATCGAAAATCATGTTCAACATGCGAAGCCGTGCAGATACCCTCGAATCAACACCCTTGCGCACAAATGTTGACACCATGTGACCTCTCCCCCTTTGCGTCGAGCAAATAGCCGGCCGATCTTCCGAAGAAAGCCGGGACCTGAAAAGGGTGCGGACACGTGCCCAACGTGAACTTGCTCTTCTTTGAGAAGCTTAGGTTTCAGAAAAACTCTCGTCCGCGGGTTGGTTTTCGTTCGCGGTTTTGGAGGTTTAAAGCTCAAGGCTTCGGTCATCAGAAGCATTTCTTCTAATGAAGGCGCCTGGGAGGGGGATGGTAATCTCCGGGAGGAAGCGGGAGCGTCTCAGCAAGCGTACCTTTCGGAAGATCAACTCAACCTCGAAGTCATTCAAGGCCCTGCCCTCCACAAAGACGCGGAAGCCGCGTAGCTTGCTTTCCTTGCTTACCAAATGAACCCTGAAATTGGGGGTCATATATACATGACTACTAGAATTCCTATTAAGGTGTATGAACCATAAACCCTTTTAGGGTTCATTACTCCCCAAGGATCCGGGTTGGAGAAGTCCACGCAGTTGATAAACCAGCCGGCTTCGGCATCTATTTCCTGGAAGGTGTTGGCTGAACCTCGCTTGCTCTTCTTGAAAGTCGCGTCTGCGGCATCCGTGAAGATGAGCTTCCATGTCCCGTTAAGGGCGCACTCGCTTGGCTGCACTCCTCCGAAACCTCTCCACCCTTTCAGAGGCGCGCTGTTGGGATTCCTGACAGCCCGACCCAACCCGAACTATGCTTCACTTATATAACCAGTGGAAAAACAGGTTCAACTTCAATATTCCTACTAAATACGGACACCCAAAAAGTTTAACGTTCAACTAAAGGCGAAGGAAAGTCTTAGGGTCTAGCTGGTAGCCACCATCCGTGTTTGCGATGGCTTCTTCTGAGTTCTAGATACGGTCGGGATTCGTCCTAAGACAGCAACCTGCCCTGTGACCTGAAAGCCTCCCGCGGCTGCCACGATTCTGTGCGGCCACGCGTTCGATAGCCTGGATGGTGCCATTTCGCAGGGCATCCAGCTCTTCACCCAGCTCAACCCTTTGAGCTGCAAAGCTCTCTGCCTGGGCTGAGGAAATCTTGAGAATGGGCGCGTGTGGCCGTTAAATGCCCTCGAACTTCGCTGTGGAATTTTACATAGAGGGGTTTCGAGGCTCCCAAATACACGATGGATCAACAGCTTCGAGACCCAAAAACAGCTTGCTTTTAAAACATGTCTAGTTGGTGTCTGTGGCCTTTCCACACACAATCCGAAAGAACGTTCTGCAGATCATCCCACACCCCCTGAAGCTAACATGTGGCAGCCGTCCTGCCCAGGGTTTCAGTTTTTCTTGCCACCCGCCTAGCACCGTGCAGGTCACTAAGTATGCTTCGCCACTCGATGGGATTCTCTAAGCTTGCTGCTCGATTCTTTGGGGTGAGATTAGTTGAGAGTTAAACATGAGATTGATAAAAAAAAAAGGAGATTTCAAAATCGCAAATAGTTAAGTCTAAATTACACTTGTGCAGAAGCTTAATTTTCTCAAGAACGGCTTCAACAAATGCAATCTTTCAAATACATACAGACTTATACAAGCACAAGTCCTGACACAAAAAAAACACTTCAGCACATTTGTGCCCAAAAACTCACAGATCAAAACACAAATCAAGACCATGAAGCAGGGACCCCACCTTTTAACGAATAGGAACAGCATGGAACTGCGGCTGGAATTCAGGAAGCAGGCTGGAGGTGGATTGTGGCAATCTTTGGGTTTAGGAGGGTTTGCAGCGAATTCCACAAAGAATAAAAAGGCCCAGCAAGCGCTGCTTAGGATTTCTTATCCGGAAATAGAAGTCTTCAGTGCCCGGGTGCCATGCAGCAGTAGCTCTCTGTGTCTGTGTCTCGTTTTGAAGTTTGGTTTTTGCCCATGGAGGCTTTTGGGGGTTTCGGCTCGATGAGACTCGGGACTTTGGTGGCTGGGATGTGTTGGAATCTGGCTGATGCTCATATACTGTTAGGTTGAATATCTTCTAAATGCGAAGCTGTGTTATTCCATGCTTTGTCTCGTGGAAAGCTAAAACCTTGTTGTATGACATGTGTGCTGTTGTGCTGTGTTCATGCAAGCACATGCGTGTGGATTTTGATAGGTGCCTGGGTTGACAAAAGCTGCTTTGCAACCAAGGTATGCCCTTGTTCTTGCCCCCACAAGACGTCCCGCAGCGACTGCCACGAAATTTTAGTACATGCTACACATTTCAGCTGCTTACTTCTCTCTTCCGACGTCCGCTTCGATGAGAAGTAAAAAAGGGTGACTTCGCCATGCAAAAAATGCCAAGAATATGGCTTGCGGTTACCCATCAGAAGGATGCCTGGGCACCGCCGACCCCTCACCCAAACACCCTGTATAACATCTCTAAACCCTAAACCCTAAACCCTAAACCCTAAACCCTAAACCCTTTAACCCCTGAGCCCTCTGCTGCCCCTATGTGGCCTGGAGGAGGGATGCTTTGGACTTCCCCTTTGACTTGCTGGACTTCTGGGACTGCTCTTGCTCGTCCATCATCTCCCACATCTCCTTTACTTTTCTCCGGGGGTGTTTAGGGTTTAGGCTTGGACAATCGACATAGACATACACTGCACAACGTCACTGCAATTACCCAACAAGCCCCGATCCGATTTCCATCGATGCCCCAAGCTCCCCCCCCCCTGTCCTCCTGCTTGCTGCGAAACTCATCGCACAGGCTCTGTAGCTCCTGCAGGTATGCAGCCAAGTTTGGGGGCCTCGGGCCCCCTTAATATTTTTGGCTCGGCTTCCTCCTTGTAGCTGACATCGGCCTCCCCTGCCGAGGCAGGTGTCGCACGAAGTCCAGTCCGGCCCACGAAGCCAGAAGGCCAACTGCACCTGTGATGCTGACACAGTGATTTTGAGGCGATTTAGGGTTTAGGGTTTAGGGTTTAGGGTTTGGGTTTAAGGGGTTAGCGGTTTAAAGATCAGTATCTCGGTCCAGGCACTGTGTCAGCAGCAGTAGGGCAGCTACCCATCTGCACCAGCCACGACGTGAGGTGCCAGCGGGGCCCAGCATGACTCTGGTGCAGAAAAGCAAGCCGAGATTGCTTCTGCAGAATCTGCCCGTGCTCGTGTGCTTTCCGCCTGCCTAGCTGGGAGACATGCATTGCAGCACTGTCGGAGTCCGGCCGAAAAATGAACAAAACGTGTTTGGAGTGCCTCCTGAGTGTAGAATTAGTTCGCAGAGCTGGGTGTGCTCCAACCTTGAACGGGCTCGTTATGTGCCGGAGCCCTTCAAACAATTGGCCCCAAGAAAAAACGCGAAGACCCTCATCCAAACCGGTTTGTTGCCTTGCAGGTGCCGGCTAGGCTAGGGGATATGATTAGGGGGACCCTTGGGGATATTAATATAGACCCTCTGAATAAGGTCCCTGTTTAGGAGAGCCAGACGAGGGTTAAGAAGTCCCTTTTGAGGGTCCCCCTTACGCTACCTAGGATCGCCCTCTCGGGCCAACTCCCCCTCTCTCTAAGTATTTCATGTCCACTGTAGCACCAAACTGTTGCAGGATTTTCAACGTGGGGGTCGCAGGGTGGTTAGGAGCAGCTCGGGCGACCTGGAGAACAAAATGAAGGCTTTTTACTCTCTCGTTTGTGTGCGTCACCCGACCGATGGGATGTCGTGGTAGTTGTGGAAGATCCTGGGTCAAGAGTCACAACACCTCTCATGACCAGCCCTAAAAGGGTTTCGGATTAGGGTTTATAGGGTTTATAGGGTTTATAGGGTTTTTAGGGGGTTCGAATGCTTAAACTGCAAACACACGTGCATCCTTCACACTTCCTTGCGCTCAGGCTCCGCTCCCCGAGGGCACGTCCGCTGGCTTCCCGGATCTTCGCCTCATGGGCGAGGTGAATAAAACCATTTCACACGACCCCCTTGTTTAGGGTTTAGGGTTTAGGGGGTACCCTTTCCCGTGCATGTTTTAGCACGCTGTGAGCGGCAGCGCTGTTTGGGAACCCCTCGATCATTGGGGTGGGGGTGGTGATCTTCCGCCGTTTCGTAGTTGCCCGCATTTAAAGGATAGGACCTACCAGGGGATCTCCACACGAGCATCTGCATGCAAAGGCTGAGTAAGCTTTGACAACGGATGTACCGAAGGCATTTTCGCAGAACGAAGCCAGAGCAGTCCAAGAAAGGGCATAGGACCACTGTCGACATTTAAACGAAATGGAGACATGGAGACCGTCTGCTGCTTATCCGCTGCTTCATAATCATCCACGCCAGGCCGAGGCATGGAAGACAGCGTTCTTAAGACACCAATGACACCAATAAAGGAGCGCCCTGAAGAACCTTTTTGCAGTGCTTTCGGGATTTCATTGGACTCCACTCAAGTACCAGCTATGAGGTATGTAGATGATAGTGGCCTCGAGCTGCTGGAAGGACTCGCTTGCAGTGATATCTTCCTCCCCAGCCTCCAAAAAAAACAAAGCTTCGACATTGAAAGGCGATGTGTCCACTTGGCCTATGTGCCATACTCTGCGTAGGCGCCGAATCTCACTCAAAGTTCGGGGTTCAGTTCACCTACGTGCCAGGCCAATGAATTACAAGCAGGTGGTATCACCCAACAAATCAACAAATCTGACTGCATCCACTGCGCATCAGTCAAGGTTCAAGCTGGTGGAAGATGGACACTGCAAGGACCGAAGAACCACTGTTTTCGCGAAACGTCGACCCCAACCAAAGGCTCCTAAGGTCTTACAGCCCGCGCCAGCCTCCGGATCTGGCCCCAAGCCTTCGGTATCTTGTTTCAACCACATCCGCGCAATCTTCCCGCCTTTCTCCTCCTGGGCTGCAAAGCATGAAGTGAATGGCCCAGCGAAGGTACTTTACATGTGTTGCAACCTGTTTACTTCCGTCACATGGCGCAGAAGGGCAGCGGGTACTTCTCATCCAAAGGTTTGCCGGGACCGCTTAATAAGCGAATCCGAGTGACGTAGAGCACTACCAGGTGCTCGGTGCGTGGCTCACGCACACCGAGCCGACCATCAGGTGGAGTACCCGCCCGCGCCGTGACCAAGTTCCTCATGGCCCACAGGTTTAGCTTCTTGTCGTTTTGCAGGGGTCTACCCGCAAAGTTTCCGCTCGGAAAAGCAGACTAGAAGGTCAGTTTTCGGAAGAGAGGGAGAGGGAGAGGAAGAGGCAGGGAAATAACGAGAGAGAGAGAGAGAGGCTTCGCTTCGCTTGGCACAGCTCCTTCGGCATCAACTGTAGCAAGCTCGAACCCTTAAAACTTTCAAGGTTCTAAGCTCACATGGTGCATGTTGATTGCAAAGGTCCGGAGAGGAGCAACTTCCCTGCTTGACCAGATGCGAAAACGGAGTTGTGGAGAAGAACGAAAGGAAGTCGCAGCTTGAAAGGCTCAGCTATTCTAGGGAAGCGCCCAAAGGCAGCAGTTCTGTGCCGGCCTGCAACTCCTAATTCCGAAGGTTCGCCCAAGCCCTGGCCCTTGAGGCCCCTTAACGCACAAAAAACGGCAGAGCTTAACTCCTACAGGCTTGACAACGTTCAGGCTCGAGGACCCTAAACCCTAAACCCTAAACCCTTTTGAGCAACGGACTTTGGAGGCTGCCGGCAAACCCTAAACCCTAAACCCTAAACCCTAAACCCTAAACCCTAAACCCTAAACCCTAAACCCTATAAACCCTAAACCCAAGCTGCTCATGCGTTTCGAAGTCCAAGCAGTACGTCGGGCTCGGTGAGTCGAAATAGAAGCGCTTCGTGCATGCGCCGCGCAGCTCATGGCCAGACTCGCGAAAGACCTTGGGAAACTATATACCTATTATACTATTATACCAATTATACCCTGTAATCCCTTTAAAAATGGCCCTATCCGCCGACCCCAGCCGGGGGCGGCGTCAGTGAAGACCCACTGCTTGTTAGACCTTCCACCTCATCTATGACAGGCTTGCCGCTCCCACCCCCACCCCCCACCCCCACCCACCCCGCCATTCCCCCATGGTCCCCAGCCTTCTACCATAGGCCCTAAGCTGAGTTTTAAGGGCTCCGTGCATGCCCACTTGCTCCACTTCCCCCCCAGGGCCGTCCATGGCACTAGCATAGGCCCTAAGCTGAGTTTTAAGGGCTCCGCTTCCTCCACTCCCCCCGACCGCTCTCCATGGCCCTGTGGCCTCATGGCTTCATGGCCCCAGCGGCCCAGGGCCTACCCCCACATCCAGCTGAGTTTTAGGTCCGTGCATGCCCACTTGCTCCACTTCCCCCCCATGACCCTCTGGCCCCATGGCTTCATGGCCCCAGCGCCCCAGGGCCCTACCCCCTTGTCCCATGGCCCAACCTTTTGCCATAGGCCCTAAGTTGCTCCACCCCGCCCTCACCGCCCACTCCGACTGCTCCCCATGGTCCTCTGGCCCCATGGCTTCATGGCCCCAGCGCCCCTGGGCCCTAAGCTGAGTTTTAAGGGCTCCAACGCATGCCCGCTTCCTCCCCCGGACAGCCCTCTGGCCCCAGCCTTCTACCATAGGCCCTAAAGGGCTCCAGTGCATGCCCGCTTCCTCCACTCCCCCCACCCTATCTGCCCACTCCGACTGCTCTCCGGCCCTCTGGCCCCATGGCTTCATGGCCCCAGCGGCCCTACGCCCTAAGCTGAGTTTTCTCCACTCCCCCCACCCTCTTCGCCCACTCCGCCATGGCCCTCTGGCCTCCCATGGCATCATGGCCCCAGCGTGAGTTTTAAGGGCTCCAGTTCATGCCCGCTTCCTCCACTCCCCCGGACCGCTCGCCCCATGGCTGGAGCCCAGCCTTCTGCCATAGGCCCTAATGGCTTCATGGCCCCATGGCAGCCTTCTACCATACTCCGACCGCTCCCCATGGCCCTCTGGCCCCATGGCTTCATGACCCCAGCGGCCCCAAACCCGAAGCTGTGAGTTTTAAGGGCTTTAGCGCATGCCCACTTCCTCCACTCCCCCCGCCCTCTCCTCCGCCCAGTCCGCCATGGCCCTCTGGCCCCATGGCTTCATGGCCTCAGCGGCCCTAGGCCCTAAGCTGAGTTTTAAGGGCTCCAGTGCATGTGCATGCCGCGACCCCCTCCCCCCGCCCTCTCCGCCCACTCATGGCCCTCCGGCCCCATGGCTTCATGGCCCCCACGACCCTGGCCCTAAGCTGAGCTTTAAGCGCATGCCCGCTTCCTCCCCATGGCTAGGGCTCACCCCCATAGTCCCATGGCCCAGCCTTCTGCCATAGGCCCTAAGGCTTCATGGCCCCAGCGTGCCAGGGCCCTACCCCCATGGTCCCATGACCCCAGCCTTCGACCAAAGGCCCTGAGCTGAGTTTTAAGGGCTCCAGTGCATGCCCGCTTCCTCCACTCCCCCCACCCTCTTGGCCCACTCCGACAGAGAACTCTCCGCCCACTCCGCTATGGCCCTCTGGCCCCATGGCCCCAGCGGCCCAGGCCCTAAGCTGAGTTTTAAGGGCTCCAGTGCATGCCCGCGACCCCCACTCCCCCCGCCCTCTCGGCTTCATGGCTCCCAGCGGCAGTGAGGGGACGCCTCTGCCCTGGGTTTGGGTTTTTGGGGTCGATGGTTCTTGTGGTAGCGGAGCCCTGATCCGGGCTTGTAGTGGGTGGTTGGTCCTTTGGCCTCAGCTGAGTAGGGGCTCCAGTGCATGCCCGCGACCCCCACTCCCCCCCCTCTCCGCCCACTCCGCCATGGCCCTCTGACCCCATGGCTTCATGGCCCCAGCGGTCCAGGGCCCGAAGCTGAGTTTTAACCGCCGGACCGCATGGTCCTACCCCCAGGGCCCCAGCCTTCTACCATCGACCCAGTTGAAGGGCTGCAGTGCATGCCCGCTTCCTCCACTTCCCCCCGCCCTCTCCGCCTACTCCGACCGCTCCCCGGCCCTCTGGCCGCATGGCTTCATGGCCCCAGCGAGCCTAAGCTGAGTTTTAAGAGGTCCAGTGCATGCCCGCTTCCGCCACTCCCCGCCCTCTCCGCCCACTCCGCCATGGCCTGCTCCACTTCCCCCCCCATGACCTTTTGCAGCGCCCCACCCAGGGCGGCTTCATGGCTAGGGCCCTACCCCCATGGTCCCATGGCCCAGCCTTCTACCATAAACTCTAAGCTGAGTTTACAGGGCTGAGGGCTCCAGGGCACGTACGCTTCCTCCACTCCCCCCGCGCTCTTTCCGTTTGCTCTTCATGGTCCTCTGGTGCCATGGCTTCATGGCCCCAGCGCCCCTGGGCCCTACCCCCCGACCGCTCCCCATGGCCCTCTGGCCTGCTGGCTTCATGGCCCCAGCGGCCCGGGGCCGATTCCCAGGTCCATGGCCCCAGCTTCAAGCTGAGATTGGGTCCGTGCATGCCCACCTCCACTTCCCCCCCATGACCCTCTGGTTCCATGGCTTCATGGCCCCAGCGCCCCAGGGCCCTAACCCTTGTCCCTTCTGCCATGGCCCAAAGTTGCTCCACCCGCCCACTCCTTCATGGCCCCAGCGCCCCAGGATACCATGGTCCCATGGCCCAGCCTTCTACCAGAGGCTCGAAGCCCAGTTTAAAGGGCTGAGGGCTCCAGGGCATGCCCACTTCCTCCACTCCCCCCACCCTCTCCGCCCACTTCCACTGCTCCTCATGGTTCTCTGGCCCCATGGCTTCATGGCCCCAGCGCCCTAAGCTGTTGCATGCACTCCCCCCGCCCTCTCCGCCCTCTGCCATGGCCCTCTGGCCCCCCACCCTCTCCGCCCACTCCGCCATGGCCCTCTCTGGCCCCATGGCTTCATGGCCGCCCTAAGCTGAGTTTTAAGGGCTCCAGTGTATGCCCGCGACCCCCACTCCCCCCCGCCCTCTTCGCCCACTCCGCCATGGCCCTCTGGCCCCATGGCTTCATGCCCCAGCGGCCCTAGGCCTTGAGCTGAGTTTTTGAGGGTGCGCCTGCCCGTTTTCTCCACTCCGCCGGACGGTGGCCCTCTGACCCCATGGCTATAGGGCTCACCCCCATAGTCCCATAGGCCCTAAGTTGCTCCTGACCCCATGGCTTCATGGCCCCAGCGCCCCAGAGCCCCACCCCGTCGTGGTCTCGTTGCCCAGCCTTCTACCAGACATGCCCGCTTCCTCCACTCCCCCCGCCCTCTCCGCCCACTCCGACCGCTCCCCATGGCCTTCTGGCCCCATGGCTTCATGGCCCTAGGCCCTAAGCTGCCCCCTGGCTTCGTGGCCCAGCCACCCCAGCCCCTCCCCCCGCCCTCTCCGCCCACTCCGACCTCTCCCCATAGCCCTCTGGCCCCATGGCTTCATGGCCCCAACGGCCCTAAGCTGTGTTTCAAGGGCTCCACATGCCCGCTTCCTCCACTCCCCCCGCCCTCTCCGCCCACTCCGACTGCTCCCCATCGTCCTCTCATCCTCTGGCCCCATGGCTTCATGGCCCCAGCGCTCCTGGGCCCTAAGCTGAGTTTTAAGGGCTCCAGCGCATGCCCGCTTCCTCTAGCCCCATGGCTTCATGGCCCCAGCGCCCCAGGGCCCTACCCCCTTGTCCCATGGCCCAGCCTTCTGCCATAGGCCCTAAGTTGCTCCACGCCGCCCTCACCGCCCACTCCGACCGCTTCCCATGACTGGCCCCATCACTTCATGGCCCGAGCGCCCCAGGGCCCTACCCCCATGGTCCCATGGCCCAGCCTTCTACCATAGGCTCTAAGTGAGTTTAAAGGGCTGAGGGCTCCAGAGCATGCCCGCTTCCTCCACTCCCCCCGCCCTCTCCACTGCTCCCCATGGTCCTCTGGCCCCATGGCTTCGTGGCCCCAGCGCCCCTGGGCCCTAAGCTGAGTTTTAAGGGCTCCAGCATGCCCGCTTCCTCCAGCTTCATGGCCCCAGCCCTACACCCTTGTCCCATGGCATAGGCCCTAAAGTTGCTCCACCCCGCCCTCACCGCCCACTCCGACCGCTTCCCATGGCTGGCCCCATGGCTTCATGGCCCCAGCGCCCCAGGGCCCTACCCCCATGGTCCCATGGCCCAGCCTTCTCACACACAAAAAAAAACCTAACCTTGCGACGTTCCTATACTGGAAAGCACGGACAACATGAAATAAGTTTTGCGCAGAAATGGAACGACCATAGACCTTCGATTGACGACCGGTGCTTGCATGTTTCTTGTCCCTCGGAACTGAGTTTAAAACCGTCCTTTACAATCTGTACTTGCTGCATTGATGTGTTCGCTTGTTTCTTTAGGACCATTCCATGCTTTTGTGCCACTGTCTCATTGTTTGTCGTCCTTCAGAACGGTTTTCAAAACAGTCGTTTGGACTTTTCTTTCTCATATCAATGTATCTGTTTTGTTCGCTTGTTTGCTTTCACCACGTCTGTCCAATGTTCTTTTCGGGTTTTTGACTGTTTGTTGTCCCTCGGCACAGCTTTTAAAAACAGTCCTTCGAGATGTTTAGTTCTTAACTTTCTTCGCTTGTTTTCCAGCAGGGAATTCCCACACACACACACACACACACACACACACACACACACACACACACACACACAAAAAACACTAACCTTGCGACGTTCCTATACTGGAAAGCACGGACAACATGAAATAAGTTTTGCGCAGAAATGGAACGACTATAGACCTTCGATTGCCGAGACTATCTCGGAAATAAGTTGCCAAAAATGGCACAAATAGGTGACCAATAGGAAAGACAAGAAATGAAGACGATGCGGAAGCATATTTTTCCTCCTACAAATTTGTAAAACTTGCGAAACAATTACCTAAACAATCAGACTGTCGGACACCCTGCGAAGCGAGAATGCTGGGCTCGTTTTCCTGGGCTTGTTTTTTTGTTCTATATTTTTCCCTCTTTGTCCTTGGAAAAATACCATCAAGAGAAATACACGAAAACCTCAGCTACGGACAGCATGGCTCGTTTTCCTGGGTTTGCCTAAGTTTTTCCTACTTTTGCCATACTTTTTCTCAGAAAACTAACAAAAAAAGTTAACTTTGGCGATGCCTTGTTCCAGTTTCTTTAGCAACCCCCCAAACCCTTAAACCGCGGCACCCGATTGAGCCCTAAACCCTATAGCGACCAGACGGTCGACGTCAAAACCACAAGCGACCAAACGGTCGACGTGACCCCTAAACCCTGAACCCTAAACCCTGAGCCCTGAACCCTAAACCCTCAACCCTCAACCCTAAGCGACCAGACAGTCGACTTTAAAACCCGACGCGACCAGACGGTCGACTCAACCCTATACCCTGAGCCCTAAACCCTAAACCCTACACGACCAGACGGTCGACTCAACCCTATGCCCTGAGCCCTAAACCCTAAACCCTTAACCCCGTGCCGTTTTGGGGTCGGCGGCACTGGCGGTAGCCATTAAATAAATAGGGATGATTATGAAGATTATAGGGCCTAATGGCCCGTCCCGGTAGTTCAGGGGGCACGTGGAAAAGCGCAGCTTTCTAATGCTTCCTCGGCAGTCCTAAGCACTGCTTGCCCAGCTAGAGTCTATAGCAGCTAGAGCTCAGCCCTCCAGCTGCTTACCGCGAGGGTTCAGCTTTGCTGTACACGACCCACCTCGACAGCCGTGTGATGTCCAAGGAGCGCAGGCATAGCGCTTCTGAAACATCTTGTCCTTGACTATGACCGCCCCTGTCCGGAGGTCAATGATCTGGACCTTGACGCGGCTGGAGAAGAGCAACAGTCGGGGCATCTTTCCCCGCACACCCATCCCCAACACCAAAGTAAGCGAGGCCGTGAAAGTCTGATGACGAGCCTTGTCATGGAAGCTTGCCATGAAGTTCTTGAGCTTCGCCTCCACCAGCGGCGTGCGCTCGTCCATGGGAAGGCCATTACTCACCTCAAGCACACTGCCCGCCCCCACTAGGTGCTCTCTGTCTGCAACACAGCACAGGCTTCGCTCCGTTAGTAAACGGAGGAGCATTCAGGAACATCTTTTGCGTAGCCAGATAGCAGGTACATGACATGGGGTGAAATGTGGCAACTGCCTTCAGCCTGCAGTGCGACAATCGAGTAGGTCGACACGGCCACCAAAACACAAACTCAAAGTCAGATGCGCAATGCTATTCGGACTTGTGTTTGGGATCCTTGGGTATCGGAAACGTGTCTGCGGCAGCAAATAATTGCCGCTACGCCTGAGATCAGCAACTGATCCAGAGAGGTACAACAACCCCGGCTGCTTCGTCCGTGCCTCCATGTTGTATGCCTCCATCTGCGCGTTGCAAAGCAGCACAGCATTCGTGTTTGGCTCCTCCACTTGCACGGTGCTTTGCGGGACAGGTTTCCATGAAGGATCCAATCTGCATGTTTGCAGAGGCACAATTATCAAGTGCCGTTTGCCTCTCAGCATGCAAAACGAAAGCGAGGTACTTGCGGGCACCTTTGAGATCCTCAGAAATCGTTGTAGACGCTTCTCTGTATGCAACCATGGTGCGAGTTCCCGCGATTCTAGTCTGAGATGCGGTTTAGGGTTTAGGGTTTAGGGTTTAGGGCATCATCTCTTTAAATGGGGACTGCTTCGAACCAATGAACCATTGACGGTCCGCCAATTGAAGCCTTGTGCATGATGAGTGTCTAGGGCGCCCGAAGCCCCACAAATAAGTCAAAAACAGAAGGTAGTAAGGGGTGCCCCCCCGAGGGAACTATCTTCGGGACATGGGCAAACAAGCGGGGGTGGGAGGGGAGATGCCTTTGCAGAACAAGTTCGCCCCATCATCTGCTGGAGATTGCTACCTAGAATGACGAAGAAGTCCTCGCCGCACCACCTTGGGGACTTAGGGGCGCGCGTTGTGTGCTCAGATGTGCTCAGTGTCTTCATGGCATCTGTATCCTGGTCATGGGTTTTAGGGTTTAGGGTTTAGGGTTTAGGGTTTAGGGTTTAGGGTTTAGGGTTTAGGGTTTAGGGTGCCCTGCCGCCAAATGCAGCCAGTGAAACCTGGCGGGGGCACGGGCTATCACACGGCCGGTCGTTCAACGCTAGCCGTGACATGCCTCGTTTGCCGTGTTTCGTGCGCCTCGTTTCGACAAGCTTGAAAAAATACCCATATATACCAGGTCTCAGCTGCCGCCGGATTGAAGCCTAGACGTCCGGTGCCCACCGGGGGTTTAGGACTTTCATTGTGCAGCTTCGGACCTATACAAACTTCGAGAGCCTTCAGCAGTACTCTCTCAGGCTCAAGCAGCCGAGCACAAGACAGCACGACTGCACAAGCTCTCCACCCTTCGGGGCCTGCTATCAACAGGCCATCGCATGACCCTCTCTGACACTTCGGGCTGCTGAACGGTAGTTTAGGGCTTTAGGCAGTCCTCTGCTTCCTCGGATTCCTCACCTTCTTCCTGAGAGCTTGTCAGGAGCCGGCGGGTTGTATGTAGGCGGGGTCTTTGGGCCTTGGCCTGTAGAAGCAGAGACTTCAAAGACATGTTCCTGGAGTTTCAGGCTTGTGGCATTTGCCCTGGCCTCCTTCTTCACCTCCTCTTTGACCTCCTTCTTAGCCTCCTTCTTGACCTCTTGCTTGACCTCTTTCTTGACCTCCTTCTTGACTTCCTTCTTAACTTCCTTCTTGACCTCCTTCTTGACCTCCGCGGGAAGCCGCCACACTGGCAGTCTGAAAATAGGCCAAGAGAGGTCGCACTATGAATTGACGTGCCTCTGGCTTCTCCTTCTTTACTTCTTTCTTCACTTCTGGCTTTCCGGCCTCTTTCTTGGACTCCTTCTTCACCTTCGCTGGTTGGGGTAGCCTATGCACAAACAGCTGGCACGTGCCAGTTCTTCTCTGTCTCCTTTAGTATACATACTTACCAATACAGTACCCTAAACCCTAAACCCTGAACCCTAAACCCTAAACCCTAAACCCTAAACCCTAAACCCTAAACCCTAAACCCAAGAGGCCTCCTTTTTGACCTCCTTGCCCCTCTCTTCCTTGTTCGCATCCAGCCTCCGCAGCGCTCGTAGGAGCTGGGTGCGGAGCTCGTGATTTTCGACCTTCAAGGTCTCGAAGTCGACTTGCAGGAGCATGA